AGACTGAGTCATTCTTGTTCAAACCAGACAGTAGGCTCTCTGTGCAATTTCGCTCTCCCCTTCAGAACTGTTGGACTGAGACGAAAATTGTAATGCCAGGTTGCCTCCCACAGCTCCACGTCTAAAAATATCGCTGTAAAAATACACAGAGGTGCTAAATGCTGCCAAGTGGCAAACGAACCTTCTCTGAACTGTGACTGGCTTCAGATGCCGTATATTCAGGCAGATTCTTAAATCTAAAGAGAGTTCTTCTTTTCCTCCGTTAGGAAGATTATATTTCTTCTTCTTCCCAAAATGACCCCTCCTGACAGCATTATGTCATGCAGTGGTCGTCAGATGGCATGGTTCATGTGGAGTAATTTCAAATTTAAAGGTTAGAAATACAAAGGAGGGTTGTTTTTTTTGGGGGGTGGAGGTTATTTTTAATGTTAACACTCTTTCTGAAGGTGTCTGTGGTGTAATGGCCCAAGAACAGAGCTGGCATTCAGAAGAGGTGGTTTCTGGTCCTGCCAGCTCTTGATTTCTGTTATGCAAAGAATCTCATACACCAACATTTTCAAATGTGCCTGCCTAACACTGGGCAGCTAGATCCATACTTAAGCACCAAAGATACAGATGCTCATCTTTGCAAAAGTCAGGAGCACAACAAGCTCCCGCTATTATTATTTGGTGGCAATATCTTTAAAAGCATCTAAGAGACTTACCTCATTGTGTGGTGTCAGCGTTGACTGTAGTTTGACCAAGAAGTTAGATCATGGATTTGTATTGGACGGTTTGGATAGGAATGGTCCTGCCTCACGAACGGGGTTGGACTAGACCTAGGGAGGTCCCTTCCAGCCCTGCTTCTCTAGGAGTCTATGACTTTCGGTAGGATTTAAGGCAGGGCGGGCAATTATTTTGGGCAGAGGGCCGCTTACTAAGTTTTGGCAAGCCATTGAAGGCTGCAGGACAGGCAGCCCAGGGCAGATAAATATTAATTTTCTAAAATTTTTAAGGGTCCCATGGGCTGGATAGAATGGCCTGGTGGGCTACATCCGGCCCCTGAGCCGCATTTTGTCCACCCCTGATTTAAGGTCATAAATCACTTAGGTTCTTCTGGAAAACCTAGCTTAGATGCTTAGATGCCTTTTTATCTTTTCCTAAACAACTACTTTACCACATTGACAGTGCTCCCCTACCTGGTCTGGATGTCCTTTGAGATTTTCTCCTCTAGTCTCTCAAGGTTCTTTAGGGTAGATGTGATCTCTTTTATTAGACCAACTAAACAGTTGGAAAAATTGTTCCTTGCAAGCTTTCAGGCACAAACACCCTTCTTCAGGCCTGCCAGCCCCCTTCTACCTGCATGTGACAAAGAACTTTATCCACCCAGGTCCTTAGGCCAGCAGGGGCGTTTGTACACGTCACAGTTTTTGCCCTTTCCTGCAACAGCGTGACTGTCTGCACAGGCTACAACCAACAACCTCTCCAGTCTTTTACAGGCATCATTATTTTGGGCCACTAGATGGCTTCCTAATCCAACAGATAGAAACTTGAAGCCTCATATGAAGTAACTCTTGGGCTTAAGTCAGTTAAAGTGTGCAGTTTTTCTCATCGCTGGTTCACAAAAAATATGCTGTCATAAGAACAATGTCACAAAAAAAAGCAACGGGTTCCAGCACAGCCAGATACACCACTGGGGTGGGGGGCAGAGAACGGGGAACAACTTCCTTGAGTTTTTTTGTTAGTTCTGCCTTGATGAGATGAGGCTTTCTAGTTGCAACCACAATTATTAACTGTGCAAAAGCAGCAGCTCCCAGTGCAAACGTAGCAGGCAGAACCTCCTCACCAGAGCTGCCACTGTTTGCTTACCAG